TTTGTATGTGTATGACTATAATTAATAATGACTTGGTACAAATAAGGAAGACTAAATTTACTACGGATAGGTAAAACACTTAAAAATTCAAGTTGTATGAAAAGGATGAAGAAAAATCACATGAAGGAGAAAATCTATAGCCAAGACCTGTGGTTAATGATGTTACACATTTCTGTATTAGGATTCTTATTAGGTAAATATATACATAGTCAAAAGTGAAGAGTCTTTTGACTTCACTAAGCCTTCACTAAGGCTCCATAGAAAAATTTTATGACTCGAAGGCTTTTTTATTATGTGATTTAATTTCCTTTTCCAGCCTTACTTTCATTCAGATTCATTTATTCAAGATATTAAAATAAAAAACAAAGTGTGAAATATGAATATATACACATTTATGTAAGATTTAGTTCCTAAGCAGAAAATTTATTTTTCTTTAACAAGCACTGTATATACCTTATAATATCTTAATACTCTCATGTATATTAAGATAACTTATTGATAATGTTCATCTTTAATAAAGTAAATCAGATGCTAACCTCCAGTTTGGGAATAATTTTACTGAATAACTTGATTAAACTGGCACAGTGGATTTTCATGGAGAATCATAAAGAATAGATATCCTGAATTTATCCTAAATAATCATAAAATTATGAAATACTTTTAATAAAGATTAAAAAGTGATGCTAATATGTTCAGCAGCATTATTATGAGTATAATCCATTGACAATAGAATGGATCAATAAAAGTGGTAAATTCATCCAGTTGAATACTATTCAACAACAAAAATAAACTATAATTGCATACCACCATGTGAATGATTATTTCATATAAAATGTATTTCATCCTAAAATCTAGTTGCTGGCACAACTAAACTATAAGCATGCCTTATGTATTTCATTTCACTCTATTGCGTTTCTTTTTTTTTTACAAACTGCAAGTTGTGGCAATCCTGCATCAAGCAAGTATATTGGTGTCATTTTCCCAACAGTATTTGCTCACTTAGTGTCTCTGGGTCACACTTGGATAATTCTAACAACATTTCAAACATTTTCATTATTATAGTGTTTATGAAGTGGATTAGTGATCAGTGATCCTTGGTGTTACTAGTTAAAGGCTCAGATGATGATGAGTATTTTTTGCAATAAAATATTTTTAAGTTATGGTATGCACATTTTTTGTATATAATACTATTGCACACCTATGCACTAAAAAAAAAATGTGTGACTTCCTTGTTATATTTGCTTTATTGTGGTGGTCTGGAGCTGAACCTGCAATATCTCCAAGATGTGCCTGTATAATATCTAGAAATCATATGTAGGTAATTAAACAACAAAGAAAGCTATAGAAATTACTTCCACACAGGATAATGATTTCTGTTTGGGAGTCAAGCAGGTGGTGTGATGAGGAAGAGGCATAAGATGAGTTTCACTTTTTAAAATCCTGGATGGTGTTAAACATCAGTATCTAATGTAGGAGAATTTATTTAACTATATATTCTCTACCTCTTTATCATATCCCATTTTGAAGAGTTATTATTATTATTTACTTTATTCTAGAAAAACATACTCTCATATGTTTTACTTTTGCATATAAGATTGAAGGCGGGAGAAGGAGCGACAGAAGATGAGACGGTTGGATGGCATCACCAACGTGATGGACATGAGTTTGAGTAGGCTCCAGGAGTTAGTGATGGACAGGGAAGCCTGGTGTGCTGCAGTCCACGGGGTCACAAAGAGTTGGACACGACTGAGCAACTGAACTGGACTGAATATTAAAAATCCCACCATCCATTGTTATTGTTTTTAAAAGTTATCTTTAAAAAAATTTTTTTAAAGGAGAATCTTATATATTTACCCATATAGTTACCATATATAATGCTATTTATATCTTTGTGTTGATTCTTATTTCCATTGGGTATTATTTTCATTCTGCCTGGAAGAGGTCCTTATAGTGTGGATCTGCTGGTTGTGTGCTCATTTTGTTTTCTGTTGGAAAAAGCCTGTATTTCTCCTTCAGTTTTGAAAACTATTTTGTCTGGGTATTCTAGGTTGAGAGATTTTTTTCCTATTTAAGTATTTTAAAGATGATGCTACACCAAATTCTTGGTTATGCTATTTCTGAAGGGAAATCTATCCTTATTTGTTCCTCTGAACATAACATCTTTTTATCTGGCTACTGTTAATATTTTCCCTTTAAAACTACTTTTGATAAATCTGATTATGATGTGTCTTGGTGTATTTTTGTTTTGTTTCTTGTGCCTGGAGTGTGCTGAGATTCTTGGGTCTGTGGATTTATATTTATCATCATATGTATAAAAATTTGGTCATTATTTCTTCTATCTACCCCACATTTTAGGCCACTCTAGCTACACATCCATAAGGCACCTTGAACTGCTCCAAAGATCAATGATGCCTCCTTTTTTTTTCCAAAATTCTATTACTTCTTGTATTTCTGATACGTCTTCACGTTCATTGATTTTTTTCTTATAGTGTCAAATCTATTAATCCCATTAGTGCCTTTTGCATCTCAGATATTGTAGTTTTAATCTCTAGAAACTCAATTTGAGATTTTTTTTAATACCCTCTTTGTATCTTAACTTTTTGGACACCTGGAATATAGTTATAATAACTGTTTCAATGTATTGTCCTCCTCTGCTAACTCTAATATCTGCAACAGTATTAAGTTGCCCTTTGTTTGGTTTTTTTCTTATTTTGGGTCATATTTTATTGCTTTTTGCAGACCTGATACTCTATAACTTGATATCAGGAATTATGAATTTGACCCTGTTGAGTTAAATGCTGGACGTTTTAGTTATTCATAAGCTTTGTTCTGAGATGCAATTAAATTACTGGGATTTAATCCTTTTGGGTTATGCTTTTAAGATGTGTTAGACAGGACCAACAGCAGTGTTAAAAGGAGCTAAGTGCTTTCCATCATTGAGGAAATGCTTTTCTAGTCATTCAGTCCGATGCCCTGTGAAATGTGTATTTTTCCAGAGCCTTATTTCATTTTGCCTGCTACAACAAAAATACCCAAAGACTGGGTGGTTTATAAACAACAGAAATCTATTTCTCATAGTCCTAGAGGCTGGAAGTCCAAGCTCAAGAAGCTGGCAGTTTTGCTGTATGATGAGATCCCACTTCTTGGTTCACAGATGTCCATCTCCTGCGTCCTTATGTGGAAGAAGGGCCAAGGGACACCTCTGAAGTGGCTTTTCTTAACTGATGTACATTTGGTTTACGATATTATTAATTTCAGCTGTGCAATATAGAGATACAAAATTTTTATAGATTATACTATATTTAACATTATAAAATATTGGCTGTATTCCCTGTGCTGTACAATATATCCTTGAAGCTTGTTTATTTTTTACGTAGTAGCTTGTACGTCTTAATCTCCTACTCTGATCTTGCTTCCCCCTTTCCCTTCCCCACTACTCTATTTCTGAGTCTGTTTCTTTTATGTTCTATTCACTAGTTTGTGGTGTTTTTTATATCTCACCTATGAGTGATATCATACAGAACTTGTCTTTATCTGACTTCTTTCACTAAGCATTGTACCCTCCATGTCCATTCACATTGTTTCAGGTGAGAAAATTCTGTTCTTTATGATGACTGAGTAGCTTTTCAATTTATAAGGATCCTACTTCCATTTATGAAGACTCCACAGTCATAAACTAATCACCCAATGGTCCCACCTCAAATAACAACACATTGGGGGTTAGGAGTTAACAGATAAATTTGAAGAGGGTAGAACTCTCAGTCTGTAGCATGTAATCTTACCGGTAGGGATAGATATTCTTCTTACCCTTTGTGTCCAGGGCACTGTTTTCTCATTTACGTGTATGACCTTGCTGACAACTATTGGTGAGTGCTATTACTAAGTGGGTAAGAGACACAAAGTGAGGACAGTTTATGCTCTGTAGATGATTTTCTTCTCTTTTCTTTATTGCACATATCTGGCTTTAACTGAGAGAATGTTGTGGGATAAAGATAGTTCTATCACTTCTCAAAAGCCCTTTAAATGGTTTTAAGTATTAAATAATACAAAGATTAATAATGTTTTAAAGTATTTTGCTGTCTAATATTATTTTTAACATCAAGAAAAGCTTCATAAGTATTAATGAGGGATTAAAATCTGAGCTATTAGAGAAAAAAATAAGAAGCTTTAAATCCAAATGAGGCTCCCTGCATTGCATTTTTAAAAATTAATTAATTAATTTTAATTAGAGGCTAATTACTTTACAAATTGTAGTGGTTTTTGCCATACATTGACATGAATCTGCCATGAGTGTACACGTGTCCCCCATCCTGAACACCCTTCCCACCTCTACTTCCCTCCCATCCCATCCCTCAAGGTTGTCCCAGCGCATTGGCTTTGAGTGCCCTGTTTCATGCATTGAACTTGGACTGGTCATCTATTTCACATATGGTAATATACATTTTTTAAAGTTATTGGTCATAACGCAAATTGGTGAACAAGTTGGGTGGAGATTAAATAAAGCAAGCAGTGCAAAATAAACAGAATATGCATTTATTTGCATGTTAGCAAATGAGATTTCAGTTTTTCTTTCACCATCAAGTATGAGAAATTTCAGTTTGCATTGAGAACACACAGTACTTGGCTCAGAGTGTAGCTAACTGTCTGCTGCTGCTGCTGCTGCTGGTGCTAAGTCGCTTCAGTCATGTCCAACTCTGTGAGACCCCATAGACAGCAGCCCACCAGGCTACCCTGTCCCTGGGATTCTCCAGGCAAGAACACTGGAGTGGGTTGCTATTTCCTTCTCTGTCTGGGAGAAAACAATTCTTACAAAGAGAGCTATGTGCCCATTCATCAATACCTCTTAGGTGTTTTCTGATTTGGTCTTTAGCTTACAATTTTTTAAAGGAAGAAACTAACCACATATCTCATAAATAAGGGTATACATATACCATTTAAACATAGTAAATCAAGAAATGGTCAATATTGCAATTAGAGACTGAAGATCTCTTTTTGCAGACATGGCAGATTCCTTAGAAAACATCTTTATCATTTTAATAAATTCAGAATTCATAATTAGTATTCTGGGGAATGGATTCATAACACTGGTGAACTGCATTGACTGGATCAAGATGCAAAAGATCTCCTTGGCTGATCGAATCCTCACTGCTTTGGCACTTTCCAGAATTGGTCTGATTTTGGTAATGATGGTGAGTTGGTTTACAAAGGAGTCTTATCCATTTTCATATTTAGACATAAAGAGAAATAAAGTCATACTTTTTAGTATTGCTGGGCTCTTGGCCAATCATTTTAGTGTTTGGCTTGCCACAGGCCTCAACCTCTTTTATTTCCTCAAGATAGCCAATTTTTTGAATGCTATTTTTCTTCACCTAAAGTTTAGAATTGGAATGGTAGTTATGGTAATTTTTCTGGGGACATTAGTGTTGCTGCCTTTAAGTCTTACTCTGGTGAGCATCTATATTAATATCAAGATACATCCGTATGAAAGAAATATGACTTTGAATTCTAAAAACAGTGACACTGAAACCTTTTCCAAATTAATTATCTTCACCGTGGAATCTTTCTTACCCTTTACTATATCCCTGAGTTGTTTTCTCCTGTTAATGTTCTCCCGACTGAAACATATCAAGAAGATGAGGAGCCATGCCACAGGGTTCAGAGATCCCAGCTGCAAAGCCCACATCAGAGCCATGATCATGGTGATATCTTTTCTCATACAACTTGCCATTCACTTTCTGTCTCATCTCATGACAACTTTTTATCACAATGTGATGCAAAGTGAACTGGCCTTTACGTTTGCTGAAGCTCTTGGAACTATTTATCCTTCAGTCCACTCATTTGTCCTGATTCTGGGAAATGACAAGCTAAGAAAAGCTTCACTTTTGGTGCTGTGGAAGATGAGGTGTGGCTGAAAGCTAGGAATACTTCAGATTCATAGACAATTCTGGAGAGCATAACATATATCCTAAGAGGAAAAAGTTGAAGAATATTTTTTTTACCATTCTTCTAGGTTCTTCTGTAATGCATGATAGTGAATATTTTTAAATGTTTATCTGCAATAGGGTCTTTTCCATGCTTATTAAGTGTTAGTTACATGTGTGTGTATATATATATATATATATATATACACACATATATGTATATATATATATATACACACATATATATATGTATATGTATTTAACATATAAAGTGAAAAGTTAAATGGACTATCTATAAGAACTTTTGTCAGCACCAATGGTATAAATAGTATTTCAGTTTTTACTTCTTTGGAAATTTTCAATTAAAATGTCAAAAAGATACATGATAGACATATATTTACTAAAATGTGAAAGTTATATTTTTATGCATATTGGTTTTCCAATTACAAGAATTAATTTACAAATATTTGTCAGATTTTCCTCAGAATCGTGGAGCAACTTATATTTCACTTACTTGTTCACTTTATTACCTTTTCATTCAATGATTCGTGAAATGTATATTTATAAATTACCAGGAAATTGCAAATTTTCTTAGGAATTCATTGATTTATATGTCCCACTGTAATCTTTAAATACATACACAATTTAGACTATGATGCATAAATTTCCAATGTTTTCAATTATAGTTGTCATTGAGCTTGAAATCTTAATTCCTTGTTTTGTTTTTTAAATGTATATTTTACCTGATCATGTACTTCTGCGTTATTGGTGAGTGGAAAACAGGACATTAAGATGTGACTTTTCTAGGACTGATTTAATTGTGTGAAGAAGATTAGACTTAATTTAATATGTCAAAATTTACTTGCAATCAAACTAGTCAATCCTAAGGAAATCAATCCTGAATATTCATTGGAAGGACTGATGCTGAAGCTGAAGCTCCAATACTTTGGCCATCTGATGAGAAGAGCTGACCCACTGGAAAAGACTTGTTGCTGGGAAAGACTGTAGGAAGGAGGAGAGCAGGGTGACAGAGGATGAGATGGTTGGATGGCACCACCAACCCAATGGACACGAGTTTGAGCAAACTCTGGGAGATGGGAAGTCTGGCATGCTGCAGTTCATCAGGTCACAAAGCTTTGGTCACAACTTATCAAATGAACAACAACTTAAAATCAAACTCAAAAGAGAGATAAAGGATAAACTTGGTCAGGTAGTAATGTTAACTTATGAATATAATGAAATGTTATCTATTAGCTTCTGTGTCTATAGTAAAATGTGTGATCCGTAAGACCAACAAACTTGGTAGTCTTGTTCATTAGTGAGCCTGAGGACCTAAAAGAGATCTTGGTATACAAAGTAGTTCAATAAATATTTGATCGGTTAGTAAGTGAATGAGTAACTGAATGAACTATATATACTAGAATTGGGAAAACAAGCTTGGCCTTATTCATCAAACCTGAAGACTGCATATTGCAGAGATTTCTCAGACTCAGTTTATAAACTTGAACTTCATGAGTTCAAGCACTTCTAGCACCTGCAACAGCAGACTCTTGTGATACAGACATATCACCAGGGGAGCACACCACAGGAAAGAAGCTGGTTTTCTAATCTAAAAGGAAATAAATCAGAACTGTGAAAAAAATCAAGTGGTTGCCATCAATACATCTTTTGATTCCTTTATGAATGGTTTCTTTCTTATGATATTTGCTGGCTGCTTATTGTGTAATCACAAAGATTTTAAAAATTGCATTAGTAACCAATTATGATATTAACTTGTTACAATGTGTTTTCTTTCTTTTTGTCTTTAGTTGATTCTCTGTCCTTTTATGGATAGTAAAACACATCTGTATGTAGTGACAATTTTACTCTTTCAATTTGAATACATATCCTCTCTTTTACATACTGCTTTGTCTAATGGTAAATAAGACTATCCACTATATTGATAGGCATCTTTATTTTGTTCCTTTTTTATTAGAAGGCAACAGACAACATTGGTGTTCTTTGAGATGATCATAATTTCCCCCACTTCTGATTTATTAAAAGAAATAAGGAACATCCCTTAATATTTTTGGAATAAAGCCTACTTGATCATCATCTAACTAGTGATTTGTTTGTACCCACTTGAATCAAGTAAGCACTTGAATTTGTTTGACAATGTTTTATTTCTTGAAGTGAGATCTATTAGTTATTACCCTTATTAGGGTGTTCATATAGGGATTGTTTCTTTTTATTTAAAAACTTTGGCTATTTCTCTTCAATATTTTGCATATGTTGTCATATTAAAGAACTATTATTCGAGGAAATCTACTATGAAGCCATGTGTATACAGCAATTTTGAGGAAGAGTCAATTCTCTGTTGAATTTCATGATATTTTACTTGGATTTTTAAGTACTTTAACATATGTTTAATATACTTTAATGCCATTTTGTACATCATAACTCATTTTGTACTTTTTATCTATAGAAACTGCCCATATTCCACTTTAAGTTTTTTTTCAGTATGTAGGAAAAAAATATCTCCCCTAAACACTTTTCTTGAGCTTTACCTAATTACTCCTAAGATGGTATTCCTTCTGTCATCTAGGTATTTTGACCGACTTTCAATTTTATGGTATCTTCAAGAAGTTACTACTGTTAGTCTCAAATTTATGAGTAATTTTCTTTCACCCATTATAGCTTTTATTTATTTTAATTAACTGTTATTTCTACTCTCTCAAGTTTATTTTATTTCTCCTTTTCTAATTATTTGAATTTACTTCTTAATTTATTTTCAGTATTCTTTTTTGGTTTGTAAAATCATCCAGTGTTAGTTAAAGTTTCTTCATCGTGTCTGACTCTCTGCAACTCCATGGACTGTAGCCTGCCAGGCTCCTTTCCATGGAATTCTCCAGGCAAGAATACTGGAGTGGGTTGTCATTCCCTTTTCAGGGGATCTTCCTGACTCAGGGACTGAATCTGGGTCTCCTGCATTGTAGGTAGATTCTCTTTAGCTGCTGAGCCACTAATATCATCCACCATCCTCTAACATCATCCACCATCCTCTAACTATTATTTCAGTTGAATCACATAAGTTTCCACATGTTTGTTCACACTATTTTATTTTCAGAATTGTCAGTGAATTTCAGTTTTATATTTGACTAAGTATTTCAGTTCAGTTCAGTTCAGTCGCTCAGTAGTGTCCAACTCTTTGCAATCCCATGGACTGCAACAGGCCAGGCCTTCCTGTCCATCACCAACTCTCAGAGTTTACTCAAACTCATGTCCATTGAGTCTGTGATGCAATCCAACCATCTCATCTTCTGTCATTCCCTTCTCCTCCCACCTTCAATCTTTCCCAGCATCAGTGTCTTTTCCAATGAGTTGCTCTTCATATCAGGTGGCCAAAGAATTGGAGTTTCAGCTTCAGCATCAGTCCTTTCAATGAATATTAAGGACTGCTTTCCTTTAGGATGGACTTGTTGGATCTCCTTGAAGTCCAAGGGACTGTCAAGAGTCTCCTCCAACACCACAGTTCAAAAGCATCACTTCTTCGGTGCTCAGTTTTCTTTATAGTCCAACTCTCACATCCATACATGACTACTGGAAAAACCATAGCTTTTACTAGATGGGCCTTTCTTGTTGATCAGGTGTTTACGTTATGTAAATATTTCAAAAATACAAATGATGTGATTTGTATTAGATTTCTATTTTAAAATATTTTATAGGGTTATAAGAATGTGATTTACAAAAGTACACTGTGTATTCTGTCTTCTTACTTTGTTTTCTTTAAATCAATTCTATTAGAAAATAATGTGCTTTTTGCTTCAAGTTTCAAAATTTGACATATACAAATAGTGTTAATATATTTATTATATTATTCAAGACATTGGTTCCCTTATTTCTGTCTCTTTCATGTTAAAGAAAAATGTCCTTTAACTCCCTGCTACTGTTCAAGGTGAATGTATCATACTGTTATATGATATATAAATGAATATATCAATATATATGATATATAAGATGCATAAATGAATATATCATACTGTTATGACATATTCATAAAATGCTATAATTTCCAATAGCTTTTTAAACAATTTTTCAAATTTATGTTATTTGAAATATAATTTTCCTACAGGGACAAACTTCAAATATTGGAAGGATTGTAGAATATTTTAAAATATAAGGGAAGGTAAAGTACATCTGGATACCATAGAATTAGTCTTGATTGGAGGAGAATAAAAAAATGGAGCTTTATTTTGCCTTTTGAAAAAAGAAAAAAAGTTTGTATTTGACAGGTGTAAATAGTTTGAGTTAATAGGAAACGAAGGTATAATTTTAAAAGTTAAAAATGATATGGAGGGTTAAAAATGGCTGCAATCTCTGACATTCCTACTATTGAGAAGGGCGTCTCCATCACCTCTCTTTGAATGTGGGCAGATTCTGTAACTGCTTTGATCAGTAGAATATGGCATAAGTGGTGCCATTCTCGGTATCTAGGTCCAGCTTTACGATACTGATATTTTCCTCTCCCTCTCTTTGAAACATCCATTTGTAGAACGCAGCCACCAAACTGTGAGAAGCCAAGTCACAGGGAGAGGCCATTGTAGACATCTCAGTGGGCAGTCGCTGCTGAGCTCCTTGCTGACAGCCTTTGTCAACACTCAGCCGTTGGATTGACCATGTTATATGTCCATCCCATTTGGGCCTTCAAATGACTGGTCCCAGTCTTCATCTGATGGCAACTAAATGAAAGGTCAGAATTAAGAACTGTCTTGTCAAGGCCAGGGAATCAACAGAACCATGAAAAAAATAAGTTGCCATTTTAATCCACTAGTTTTGGGGGTGGTTGATAATTCAGAAATAGATACTGAGAGTAGATGTAGAAAGGAATAAAAAGAATTCCACCAGTTTAATCCAAAAGCAAGAAAAGAGAACAAATAAAGAAAATTGATAACCAGCAAAAATCTCAAGAGAACACTCTTCAGAGTCCCTTGGACTGCAAGGAGACCAAACCA